ATGGGGAAAAATGGGGATGGGGAAAATGGGAATGGGGGAAAAATGGGAATGGGGAAAATGGGAATGGGGAAAAATGGGAATGGGGAAAAATGGGAATGGGAAAAATGGGGAATCCGAGGGTTTGCGTCGGGAGCTTTTGTGGGAATTCCGGGATTGTTCCGGGAATTATTTTGGGAGTTCTGGGCTCCCAGGAGCTCGTTGGGCTCCTCACCGGCTTGGACAAGCTGGCTGCTGTGAGTCCCACCCAAAATTCCCGAAAATCCATGGAATTCCAAGAAAAAAATCCCCCGGAATTCCCAAAAAAAAAAAGAAATAAAAAATCGGGGATGGGGTGCAGGAGGTTGGGGGTCAGTGAGGGGATGGGGGTGTTGGGGGTCTGGTGGGTGGGAAATGGGGAAAATGGGAATGGGGAAAATGGGAATGGGGAAAAATGGGAAAGGGGAAAAATGGGAATGGGAAAAATGGGAATGGGGAAAAAGGGAATGGGGAAAAATGGGAATGGGGAAAAATGGGAATGGGGAAAAATGGGAATGGGGAAAAAATGGGAATGGGGAAAAACGGGGATGGGGAAAAATGGGATGGGGAAAAATGGGGAATCCGAGGGTTTGCGTCGGGAGCTTTTGTGGGAATTCCGGGATAGTTCTGGGAATTATTTTGGGAGTTCTGGGATCCCAGGAGCTCGTTGGGCTCCTCACCGGCTTGGACAGGCTGGCTGCTGTGAGTCCCACCCAAATTTCCCGAAATTCCATGGAATTCAGGAAAAAAATCCCCGGAATTCCAAGAAAAAAAAAATAAATCGGGGATGGGGTGCAGGAGGTTGGGGGTCCGTGAGGGGATGGGGGTGTTGAGGGTATGGAGGGTGGGAAAAGGGAAAAATGGGAATGGGGAAAAATGGGAATGGGGAAAAATGGGAATGGGGGAAAATGGGAATGGGGAAAAATGGGAATGGGGAAAAATGGGAAAAAATGGGGAATCCGAGGGTTTGCGTCGGGAGCTTTTGTGGGAATTCTGGGATTGTTCTGGGAATTATTTTGGGAGTTCTGGGCTCCCAGGAGCTCGTTGGGCTCCTCACTGGCTTGGACAGGCTGGCTGCTGTGAGTACCGCCCAAAATTCCCAAAAAATCCATGGAATTCCAGGAAAAAAATCCATGGAATTCCCAAAAAAAAAGAAATAAAAAATCGGGAATGGGGTGCAGGAGGTCGGGGGTCAGTGAGGGGATGGGGGTGTTGGGGGTATGGAGGGTGGGAAAAGGGAAAAATGGGAATGGGGAAAATGGGAATGGGGGAAAATGGGAATGGGGAAAAATGGGAATGGGGAAAAATGGGAATGGGGAAAAATGGGGAATCCGAGGGTTTGCGTCGGGAGCTTTTGTGGGAATTCCGGGATTGTTCCGGAATTATTTTGGGAGTTCTGGGCTCCCAGGAGCTCGTTGGGCTCCTCACGGGCTTGGACAGGCTGGCCGCTGTGAGTCCCGCCCCGAAATTCCCAAAAATCCATGGAATTCCAGGAAAAAAATCCATGGAATTCCAAGGAAAAAAAAAAATCCCCGAAATAAATCTGGGATGGGGTGCAGGAGGTTGGGGGTCAGTGAGGGGATGGGGGTGTTGAGGGTATGGAGGGTGGGAAAAGGGAAAAATGGGAATGGGGAAAAATGGGAATGGGGAAAATGGGAATGGGGAAAAATGGGGAATGGGGAAAAAATGGAAAAGGGGAAAAATGGGGAAAAATCGGGAATGGGGAAAATGGGGATGGGGAAAATGGAGATGGGGGAAAATGGGAATGGGGAAAAATGGGAACGGGGGAAAATGGGAATGGGGAAAATGGGAATGGGGAAAATGGGGATGGGGAAAATGGGATGGGGAAAATGGGAACGGGGAAAAAATGGAAAAGGGGAAAAATGGGAATGGGGAAAAAGGGAATGGGGAAAAAATGGGGATGGGGAAAATGGGAATGGGGAAAATGGGAATGGGGAAAATGGCGATGGGGAAAATGGGGATGGGGAAAATGGGGATGGGGAAAATGGGAATGGGGAAAATGGGAATGGGGAAAAACGGGAATGGGGAAAAATGGGGATGGGGAAAATGGGAATGGGGAAAATGGGGATGGGGAAAAATGGGAATGGGGAAAAATGGGAATGGGGAAAAAATGGGAATGGGGAAAATGGGAACGGGGGAAAAATGGGGAATGGGGAAAATGGGAATGGGGAAAATGGGAATGGGGAAAAATGGGAATGGGGAAAAATGGGAATGGGGAAAAATCAGGAATGGGGAAAAATGGGGATGGGGAAAAAATGGGGATGGGGGAAAATGGGAATGGGGGAAAATGGGAATGGGGGAAAATGGGAATGGGGAAAAATGGGAATGGTGGAAAAATGGGGAATGGGGAAAAAATGGGGATGGGGGAAATGGGAATGGGGGAAAATGGGAACGGGGGAAAATGGGAATGGGGAAAATGGGGATGGGGAAAATGGGGATGGGGAAAATGGGAATGGGGAAAATGGGAATGGGGAAAAATGGGGATGGGGAAAAATGGAATGGGGAAAATGGGAATGGGGAAAAATGGGGATGGGGAAAAATGGGGATGGGAAAAATGGGGAATGGGAAAAATGGGAATGGGGAAAATGGAATGGGGAAAATGGGAAGAGGAAAATGGGGATGGGGAAAAATGGGGAATGGGAAAAATGGGAATGGGGAAAATGGGAATGGGGAAAATGGGAAGAGGAAAATGGGAACGGGGGAAAAATGGGAATGGGGAAAAATGGGAATGGGAAAAAATGGGAATGGGGAAAAATGGGAATGGGGAAAAATGGAATGGGGAAAAATGGGAAAAAATGGGTAATCCGAGGGTTTGCGTCGGGAGCATTTGTGGAATTCCGGGATTGTTCCGGGAATTATTTTGGGAGTTCTGGGCTCCCAGGAGCTCGTTGGGCTCCTCACTGGCTTGGACAGGCTGGCTGCTGTGAGTCCCGCCCAAAATTCCCAAAATTCCATGGAATTCCAGGAAAAAAATCCATGGAATTCCAAGAAAAAAAAAATTCCCCGAAATAAATCCGGGGATGGGGTGCAGGAGGTCGGGGATCCGTGAGGGGATGGGGTGTTGAGGGTATGGAGGGTGGGGAAAGGGAAAAATGGGAATGGGGAAAAATGGGAATGGGGAAAATGGGGATGGGGAAAATGGGAATGGGGAAAAATGGGAATGGGGAAAATGGGAATGGGGGAAAATGGGAATGGGGAAATGGGAATGGGGAAAAATGGGAATGGGGAAAATGGGAATGGGGAAAAACGGGGATGGGGAAAAATGGGGAATGGGGAAAATGGGAATGGGGGAAAATGGGAATGGGAAAATGGGGATGGGGAAAATGGGAATGGGGAAAATGGGGAATGGGGAAAAATGGAATGGGGAAAAATGGGAATGGGAAAAATGGGAATGGGAAAAATGGGAATGGGGAAAATGGGGATGGGGAAAAAAGGGAATGGGGAAAATTGGGGATTGGGAAAAATCAGGAATGGGGGAAAATGGGAATGGGGAAAAATGGGAATGGGGAAAATGGGGATGGGAAAAAATGGGAATGGGGAAAAATGGGAATGGGGAAAAATGGGGATGGGGAAAAATGGGAATGGGGAAAATGGGGATGGGGAAAAATGGGGAATGGGGGAAAATGGGAATGGGGAAAATGGGAATGGGGAAAATGGGGATGGGGAAAATGGGAATGGAGAAAAATTGGGAATGGGGAAAATGGGAATAGGGAAAAATGGGGATGGGGAAAAATGGAAGAGGAAAATGGGGATGGGAAAATGGGAATGGGAAAAATGGGAATGGGGAAAAATGGGGAATGGGGAAAATGGGAATGGGAAAAATGGGAATGGGAAAAAATGGGAATGAGGAAAAATGGGAATGGGGAAAATGGGAATGGGGAAAATGGGAATGGGGAAAATGGGAATGGGGAAAAATGGGAATGGGAAAAATGGGAATGGGGAAAAATGGGAATGGGGAAAATGGGAATGGGGAAAAAATGGAAAAGGGGAAAAATGGGGAAAAATCGGGAATGGGGAAAAATGGGGATGGGGAAAAATGGGAATGGGAAAATGGGAATGTGGAAAATGGGAATGGGAAAAATGGGGATGGGGAAAAAATGGAAAAGGGGAAAAATGGGGAAAAATCGGGAATGGGGAAAGATGGGGATGGGGAAAAATGGGAATGGGGAAAATGGGAATGGGGAAAAATGGGAATGGGGAAAATGGGGATGGGGAAAATGGGAATGGGGAAAAATGGGAATGGGGAAAAATGGGGATGGGGAAAAATGGGGATGGGGAAAATGGGGATGGGGAAAAATGGGGAATGGGGAAAATGGGGATGGGGAAAAATGGGATGGGGAAAAATGGGGAATGGGGAAAATGGGGATGGGGAAAATGGGAATGGGGAAAAATGGGGAATGGGGAAAAATGGGGATGGGGGAAAATGGGAATGGAGAAAAATCGGGAATGGGAAAATGGGAATGGGGAAAATGGGGATGGGGAAAAATGGGAATGGGGAAAAATGTGGAAAGGGGGAAATGGGAATGGGGAAAAATGGGAATGGGGAAAATGGGAATGGGGAAAATGGGAATGGGAAAAATGGGCATGGGGAAAAATGGGAATGGGGAAAAATGGGAGTCGGGAAAAATGGGAATGGGGAAAAATGGGGATGGGGAAAAATGGGAATGGAGAAAAATGGGAATGGGGAAAAATGGGAATGGGGAAAATGGGAATGGGGAAAAAATGGGAATGGGGAAAAATGGGGAATCCGAGGGTTTGCGTCGGGAGCTTGTTTTTGCGGATTGTGGGAATTCCGGGATAGTTCCGGGAATTTTTTTTTTTGGGAATTCCGGGTTCCCAGAGGCATCACCAGCTGCGGATCAAGATCCTGGGGGATTGCTACTACTGCATCTGCGGGCTGCCGGAATTCCGGGAGGACCACGCGGCCTGCTCCATCCGCATGGGGCTGGCCATGGTGGAGGCCATCGCGTAAGGGACCCAGGGCAACCGGGAATTCGGGAATCGGGAATTCGGGGAACTGGGGAATTCGGGAACTGGGGAATTGGGGATTGGGAGCTGGGGATTGGGGATTGGGAGTTGGGAATTCGGAATTGGGGATTGGGGATTGGGGATTGGGGATTGGGGATTGGGAAGTGGGGATTGGGAACAGGGGATTGGGAGTTGGGAATTCGGGATTGGGGATTGGGGATTGGGAAGTGGGGATTGGGGATTGGGAATTGGGAAGTGGGGATTGGGAGTTGGGAATTGGGAGTTGGGAATTCGGTATTGGGAAGTGGGGATTGGGAATTGGGAATTGGGCATTGGGAGTTGGAGATCGGGAATTGGGGATTGGGGATTGGGGATTGGGAGTTGGGGATTGGGAACTGGGAGCTGGGAACTGGGATGGGACAGGAATTGGGGATTGGGAGGAACTGGAATGGGGACTGGGACATGGGGAACTGGAAATGGGAACTGGGAATGGGGAACTGGGAATTGGGAGCTGGGAATTGGGAATTGGGAAGTGGGGATTAGTAGTTGAGAATGGGATGGGATTGGGGATGGGAATTAGGAATTGGGAATTGGAATTGGGATTGGGAATGGGAATGGGATGGGAATTGGGAATTAGGATTGGGATTGGGAATGGGAATGGGAATGGGAATGGGAATGGGAATTGGGAATGGGAATTGGGAATTAGGAATTGGGGAATTGGGCATTGGGAGTTGGGATTGGAGATTGGGGATTGGGAATTGGGAGTTGAGAATGGGATGGGATTGGGGATGGGATGGGAATTGGGAATTAGGAATTGGGGATTGGGGCTTGGAGATTGGGAGTTGGGAGTTGGGGATTGGGAGTTGGGAACTGGGGATTGGGGATTGGGAAATGGGAATTGGGAGTTGGGAATTCGGGATTGGGAAGTGGGGATTGGGAGTTGGGGATTGGGAATTGGGAAGTGGGGATTGGGAGTTGAGAATGGGATGGGATTGGGGATGGGATGGGAATTGGGAATTGGGATTGGAATGGGAATGGGAATGGGAATGGGAATGGGATGGGAATTAGGAATTAGGAATTGGGATTGGGATTGGGATTGGGAATGGGATGGGAATTGGGAATTAGGAATTGGGAATTGGGAGTTGGGGATTGGAGATTGGGAATTGGGATTGGGAATTGGGAGTTGAGAATGGGATGGGATTGGGGATGGGATGGGAATTGGGAATTGGGAATTGGGATTGGGATTGGGATTGGGAATGGAATTGGGAATTAGGAATTAGGAATTGGGAATTGGGAATTGGGATTGGGATTGGGATTGGGAATGGGAATTGGGAATTGGGAATTGGGAATTAGGAATTGGGAATTGGTAATTGGGAATTGGGATTGGGGACTGGGGATTGGGGATTGGAGATTGGGGATTGGGGATTGGGAAGCGGGAACTGGGGAACTGGGGAATTGGGGATTGGGAATTGGGAGTTGGGAGTTGGGAGTTGGAGATTGGGGATTGGGGATTGGGGATTGGGAGTTGGGAATTGAGAATGGGATGGGATTGGGGATGGGATGGGAATTGGGAATTAGGAATTGGGGATTGGGGCTTGGAGATTGGGAGTTGGGGATTGGAATTGGAGATTGGGGATTGGGGATTGGGGATGGGATGGGAATTGGAATTGGGGATCGGGGACTGGGGATTGGGAGTTGGGGATTGGGAGTTGGAATTCGGTATTGGGAAGTGGGGATTGGGAGTTGTCAATTGGGGATTGGGAGGTGGGAGTTGGAGATTGGGAATTGGGGATTGGGAGCTGGGAATTGGGATGGGAATGGGAATTTTGGGGTGGGATGGGATGGGAAGGGAATGGGAATAGGGATGAGAATGGGGATTGGGATGGGATGGGAACGGGAATGGGAACGGAATTGGGAATTGGGAATTGGGAAATGGGAAATGGGAAATGGGAATGGAAACGGAATGGGAATGGGGATGGGATGGGAATGGGATGGGGATGGGAAGGGACATGGAGATGGAGATGGAGGTGGGAATGGGGATGGAATGGGAATGGGGATAGGGAATGGGATGGAAATTGGGATTGGGATGGAAATT